AAAAAAAAAAAAAAAAAAAAAAAAAAAAAAAAAAAAAAAAAAAAAAAAAAAAAAAAAAAAAAAAAAAAAAAAAAAAAAGAAGAAAGAAAGAAAAGCACGAAAATTTAGTAAAAAAATTAGGAGTTGCAAAATGGAGTATATCACGAATTCATGATTTTAACCCATTAAATAGTCCTGAGAAACAAATTAAACAGAGTATCACAATTAATATAAGAAAATTGTCCAAACTGAAATTAAATTCATAATTCCTGCAACAACACATCGATCTTCATCAATTCACAAACATATAATCGTTCATACTATAGAGAAATGCCACTGTCCCGTCGATGTTTGTAATCGTTAGATCAACTATCCTCGACGATTACATGATGATCTATCGGTTACAAATCCCTGACGGAATGGTTCTGTTACCGGACTGTAGCATCTACTCATACTATAATTGTTCAGCTGTCTATTAATTTTACCTTGTCAAATACTTCCTTCTTGTACCGATATCCCTACACAACCACCAACAAAACACACATCCAATATATTGTCATTAAATGTTCTTGAAATGACCTTCAAAAAGGCAAAAATGGAAGGTAAAAAAAGACCTTGTTGGTCCCATAGATGTAATCACAGTAGGTGAATACTGATGCAAAGTTACTTTGGCTCTTCCCTCCCACATAGTGATGGTAATCGTGGAAAACGGCCCCTCCGTAAAACGGGATGTACTTCAAAGGACTCCAAGGGAAGTCATATCTGAATACCAAAGGCCAAACCATCATCATCATAACTCTAATAACAAGGAGCCAGCATTTGAAACAAGTAAAAAAGTGAGTATTTTTGACGACTCGTTAAAGAACGATGATATCGGTGTGCATACCCGCTGTGAGTTTCGACGGCTTCCATTTGCCTGACAATCATCCATAGCCAGAAGGTGAGCATGTGGCCCGGAGCAATAACCGGGCCAAGAAAGGAGGCCATGCCGAGGGTGATGACCTCGGCCCAATGAGCGTAAGGGGCTGCGAACCCGATTGGGGCCGTGTACTCGTGGTGGACTCGGTGGATGTTTTCGTAGCCCCATTTTCCGTGCAGGAATCTGTGCATCCAGTAATTCGCGTAGTCTTCCACCAGAAAGTACGTCACTATTTGCCAGAAAATTTCCGAGCCCGACGGTAGGGGTAAACTTGTCCTTATTCCAATCATCTGCAACAATTTGAGAATGAATGATATATCAGCGAATGATAAGATTTAAGAAGCTTTTTGTTTAACCTTTTAGCCAATCTCATAAAGACCAAAGGGGACATTTTGTTATTAACCAAGAATCCATTAAACAAATCAGAGAAAAATGGCTCCTCAAAACAATAAAAACACAATCTTTATTTTATCATACTAATATTTAAGGAAAATGCTAAATTCCCGGAACAATTCCTCTGAATAAAACTCCAATAAAAAATTTTCACCTCAGCATTCAGTGACTACATCTAAGGGTCTATATTCAGGGGTGTATCCATATACTACTACTCCTTAGCCCGAGTAGAATTGTACGTTTGGGACCATGTAAATATATATATATATAAATGTAATATAAAATAATTTTAATTATATATATATATATATGATGTTCAAATGAGAACCAAGTCCTAAGGTGAGAACCGTGAGAACCGTTATTTTTAATTGCATCGCATCTACTGCTATGATTGATTGTGTTTTAGTACTATTTTTAACCAGAATATATTTTCTTAAAAATAGCAACACAATTTTATATTAGTTATTGTGAAGATAATATCACCATGTAATATTAAAAATAACATCTTACACAATTAAAAATAGCATCAAATACGATTTCCACACCAACACTATTTTTTATTTGAACCAACCCCTATATAGTATATATAATCAAAACTTAAATCGAACAAACGTAATGTTAGTCTAACGAAATAAAATATATGGCATAATCACATCAAATAAAATTATGGAACCATTTAAAAATTTAAATAACCATCTCATACATATCAATTTTGAGAGATTTTATCTTGATGGAATTAAATAATTCCTTGAAATTTGAGAAATAATTGATCAACAAGTTAAAATTCGTTCCTAAATCCTAATAAATGTTCTTGCTCTCTCTCTCTTTTTTTTTTTAATTTTCGTTCTTGTGTTGTCGTAACGAACTGTCATTGATTTTTTTTTTAAGTACAAGTCCTAAAATTTAAACTAAAAAATATATTTTAGTTAAACGAATATATTTCAAAAAAAATATATATTTATTGCAGAAACACTTCAAAATAATATTTTATATTATTATTATTTTTATTTAATATCTGATATAATTTTAGCCCGAATAAATTAATTCTGTTTCCGCCTTGTCTATATCAAACTACTAAAGATCTAACGGCATATATTTGAATGAGGCCCACGGGGGGACTGTAGCTGGCTGACAATACTTAATATCATGAGTTCTGAAATATGCCACCAAGCAAATTATAATCCACAGAACAAAGAACACCAAATACATAATCATATAGTCTTCGTACCTGAATGACAGGAAAGGAAAAGACTTGGAGGGGCACCACGGCAATAACGAAGGTCTTGAGGACTTTTGTGTAACAATCCAGCATGTCCCACAGCGTGTTCTTGGTTTTGGGCTGGATTTTGTATTTATCAATCTTTCGGGAGCGCGTGAGCTCCAAAATCACGTACGGCAACGGCAGCACCGTGTAGAAAATGAACAAGAAGATTGTGTTGTGGCAATACAGAAAATAATCTGTTTTTCGGGCCGAGTATTCGAACCATATCGCCTCCGCGAATGTCAGATTTCTTCCCAGGGAAACTTGTGCATCTTCAAGGCTTGCAAATGGCAACATTTTCTTCTTCTTCTTCTTCTTCTTCTTCTTCTTCTTCTTGTTTTTGCTACTAATTAAGTTTGTTTTAGTTTCTCTCTCTATATGTTCTGTGTGTGTGAGATATAGAGAGAGAGAGAGAGAGAGAAAGATAGAGAGTGAAAGAGATCGATAGAGATTGTTGTGTTTTTGCAGAAAAATGTTGAAAGATGAGAATTTTGAGAGAGAGAGAGAGAGAGAGAGAGAGAATTTGTAATATTTGATGTTTTTATGGTGAGGCGAATTAATGGGACAAGGTCTTAATGTTGTTCATTAATTCTTCCTTACAAAATGGACGAGTGGTTGAAGGATTTTATTACATAATTGTTTCAAGAAAAAAAAAAAATTGAAAAACTGTGTAATATTCTGCTGAGCAAAATGAGACTCGTGTTCTGTTATTTGACCAAACAATTCATGGTGCATGTCGACGAGAGTGCGTTGGCATTTTTTGGCAAACATGATCGGCTTCGGTCTTTAGTTTGATTATTGTTATATTTATTATTAGTATTTATGTTTGTATTTATTTATAGAGTAATAAATTGTACTTTTAGTCAGTCATGTATGTTTCACTATTCTAACTTTTTTGTCCTCTTCGAATTGCGTTTTTTATTTTCGTCCAATATGTTTGCAAAAATGTTATAAAAAGGTCTTTTTCATACATAAGAGACGAAATTGAAACTTTCTTTTGCAAAACATAAAGGACATTTTTGCT